AACATTATCTAATTACTCCAGGTTTGTATAAATACTCATTGATATGTCTGAATCTATATATACATAAAACAATTACATTTTTATAAGATTCTTACTATTCAGACATATAGGTCTTTAATTCAGTCAGACGATTTTATAGATATATGTGCCAAATGATACTTACCATATATATAGTCAGGACTTTTAAGTAATTTACAAATACACTTATGGTAAGTAATAGTTATTTTAATTTTTATATACTTGAAATATATTAAAGCAAAATCTGAAGAGCTTGGCAACATTGAAATATATCAAGATACTCTCAGGTGAAGTTGAAGTTAAATCTATATGCTCATTTCGTCTGAACTGCAAAATCCAATTTGGTCAAACTGTTAGCTTAGTTTAGGTGAAAGCACTTGTTCAAAAACATTTGCTAGTAACGTTTTAAAATTAAAGTGTAAAAAGTACTATTTTTAAACAAAGGAAAACACTTCATAGGAAGTGGCTGAATGAAATTCAGTAGTACATAATGACCGATATGCTTAAAGGTAAATCATGCATTTTTGTACCTTCATCGTTCCCTGTGTGGTCATTAACATGAGTACAAAATGGACTTATTGATTAACTCAGTAGCAACGCCTCTTCAAGTAATAGATGCTGCAAAAAATCAATTAACTAATACTTGCAAAAAGTCCAAGATATGATACATAAATGTTAATCCAAGATATTATACAAAAAAAGTCCAATCATAATACTTGCATATCTCGATCGGGAAAATGATATGAAGCCAATGGAAATTGATCCATCTAGGGCTTGCTGCACCGATGGCTATGATGGGTGCATTTCTCCTCGCAGCTGGTACTTAATGGAAGAGACACTGCATGCTAAAAGCTCTAGGAGTAGCTGGTGGCAATGTAATGGTTTTATGTATATATAGATTCAGACATATCAATGAGTATTTATACAAACCTGAAGTAATTAGATAATGTTTGAGACAAACCATAATTATTGAAGGAATTCTACAAAACTAACCTCTTTAGGAAAAATGAGAATACTTCTGATGATTATACACAATTTAGTCCTCTTTTTTGAATACTTAACTAACCTCTATATGGCATGCATGCCGGTTATAAAAATTTTGAAAATGGAAAGTTCGAAGCATCTATCTTTTTATACCAGAAGTAAAATGAACTGAAGTTTCAATCTTTTAGTGCAGGACTGGATAATGCAAAATCATCATCTCAATAAAAACATAAGGAACTTAAACAATGCAATAAGAATTTATTTCTTAATCATTTGAGATTATAAGAACTAAACCAAACCAAACTTAAAAAAGTCCAGCCATTTTAGATTATAAGAACTTAAACTGACCGGGCCACCGGGTCGGGCCGAGCCGGTTCCGGGTCGAGCCACCGGGTCGGGCCGGTTCCGGGTCGGGCCACCCGACCCGAGTCCATCAATAGGGACGTTTGGCTTTGAAGGAGTGTTGGCCGGATACACACATGCGGTTGGGCAATGATTAGGGAGATCCTACAACGATGTGGAAGGGTTGTCCTCCTACTCGCTCAAGTTTTACTCCAACTGGGCTGCTGCATGATTGAATTGTGCATTAGGGTGAACGTGTTAAGTCTCCTTTCATGGGTTCACTCATTCAGAGGTGTAGTGGTGGACTCGGTTCGGGCCTAGAACCGACCGGGCCTCGGTTCAAGGAAGGCAGGCCCGAAACCGGCCCGGATAACCCCGGGTCCGGTTCGGTTCGGGTCACCCGCCCGGTTCACGGGCCGGGCCTTTTTAATTTTTTTTATATATTATATAATTAGAATAATTCTTATTACAATTACAATATATTATATTCGAATTGAAGTATATTTATTTCAAATAAGAAGTACAATTGAGAATTAGGATGAATTTAAAAAATGTAATACATTTTGTAATAAAAAATCAATCGAACTCTCCGCCTTCGGTTGTTTCCTCCATAAAGTGGCGGGTGGGAGTGATGGTAATTTCTTGAGTTCTTCATTGGGCCTTCAACCAATCGTGAAAGCAAACTAGTGTCTCAAGAGAGCTCGGGCTCAACCTCGTTCTATAATCGGTTAGGACGTTGCCGGCCGCACTGAATTCTTGTTCCACGACAACGGTTGATATCGGCATTGCTAGTACTTGCTTAGCCATCTTTGATAAAATCAGGAATGTTCTTTCATTTTCCTTCCACCACTTAAGAACGTCAAAGTCATCACCAACTTCATAATCAACGTTCAATGTTAGATACAAAGAAAGCTCGTTACCTGAGCTTTGTTCAGTAGCGGGAGTTGCTCTACTTTTTTTCAAAAGAGAACCAAAAGCGGATTTTAAAAGTGATTTTCCTTTAGATGAAGAAGATGTTCGTTGTATGGGAGGGGGTGCATTACCATATTGTGCATGAAATTCATTATACAATTGATGAAATAAATTACTAACCTCGTTGCATGGGATTATCATCGAACTCTTGAGTTGGAAAAAAAGAAGCATAATAGTAATCTATACAATTTGCCAAGTAAGGAAGTTTATAACGAGGATCAAGAACAAATGCAATACCATATATATGCGGAATATGTGAATATGAAAAAATTTAGAATATGACATGCGCAATACCATCCCCCCTTCACTACCTCCAAAGCATTTCCTAATGCCGCTAAGCCATCTTGTACACACAAATTTAGAATATGACATTCACAACGTTGATGAAAAAATCTACCCATCAATGTAGAAGCACCACACAATTCACGTAATCTAGGTATAGCAGCAGTATTATTACTAGCATTATCAAAACCTACAGCAAACACCTTATCAATCAAATTATACTCAATTAAAATACGTTCAATGAGAATATAAATATTATCAGCAGTGTGACGATCATTGAATTCACGAAAAGCAAGAACACGTTTATGCATATTCCAATCATCATCAATATAATGTGCAGTTAGACCCAAATAATATAAATGATGATAAGTATCCTCTCATATATCGCTACAAATACTAACACGTCCATCAAAGTTTACGAAAAATATTTGTAATTTTTCTTTTTCCAAGTTATATTGCCTTATAACTTCTTTTTTAATCGTTTTGCGACTATAATTTCTAAATTGAGGATTTAAAGTACCTTGAGCATAATCTCTTAAAGCAAGACTTTCGGAAAAAATAAAGGGTAAATTTTCTTCAACAATTAAATGAGACATACCAGTCAAATGTTTTTTATCATCATAGGAAAAATTACCAAAGGGTTGAGAATTTGCAAACCTTGATATTTGTGTTTGCTTCCCCTTTCCTTTGTCTATTTTCGCATACTCCACAAAGTGGGCGGACTGAAGATGCCTTTTGAGACTCCCGTATCCGCCAGAAGTTCCCAAGCTAAACTCTTTCTTGCAATGATTGCAACTTGCGTACCATTTTTCGGTTTGTTCGTCTTTCCTTTTTGTATAATTGTTTTCAATAATAGGAGATTTAGATTTCTTACCAATTTGGGTTGTAGTTGTTGAACGGCCCTCGTCCTCTTGCTCATCATCCGGAGTCCCGTCGCCCCCCGCGTCCTCCTCCCCATCGTCATCCTCGAGCTCCTCTTCATCGATGGTTGTCGGGAATTGTTGTTCTTGTGCAAAACGTGGATCATTTTGGGACAATAGGTGTTGTAGTTCCTCGTCGGACATCATCATACCATCTCGCCGTTGGTAATCCGTTTCAAAATCATCTCGACTTTGAAAAGAAGACTCGGCCCGCGCTTTACCTTTGCCTTTGCGTGAAGTAGATCGAGTCGATGCAATCTCCCTCTTGCGGTTGCGTTGGAGATTACCCACATCTACAGAATGTCTACCACGCTCCATCTTTAAAATTGAACAAATATTAGCAATTAACTAATATGAGAAATGTAAAAATTAACTAGTTTTTTTTACTTTAATGAGATATGTAGCAATTAACTAATATGAGAAATGTAAAAATGTAGCAATTAACTAATTAACTAATATGAGAAATGTAAAAATGTAGCAATTAACTAATATGAGAAATGTAAAAATGTAGCAATTAACTAATTAACTAATATGAGAAATGTAAAAATGTAGCAATTAACTAATATGAGAAATGTAAAAATGTAGCAATTAAGTAATTAACTAATATGAGAAATGTAAAAATTAACTAGTTTTTTTTACTTTAATGAGATATGTAGCAATTAACTAATATGAGAAATGTAAAAATGTAGCAATTAACTAATTAACTAATATGAGAAATGTAAAACTGTAGCAATTAACTAATATGAGAAATGTAAAAATGTAGCAATTAACTAATTAACTAATATGAGAAATGTAAAAATGTAGCAATTAACTAATATGAGAAATGTAAAAATGTAGCAATTAAGTAATTAACTAATATGAGAAATGTAAAAATTAACTAGTTTTTTTTTACTTTAATGAGAAATGTAGCAATTAACTAATATGAGAAATGTAACAATTAAGTAGTTTAACTAATATTAATATGAAAAATGAAACAATTAACTTTAACTACTTTAACTAATATTAATATGACAAATGAAACAATTAAGTAATTAAATAGATAAACGAGAAGTGTATATATAAATTAAGTAATTTATATATATAGTATATATAAATATATAACGTGTAAATATATTATAAGTAATATATAATATAATGTATAACTATATATAGTATATATAATATCATGCGTAAAGAATTATAATATGAATGTGTATAAGTATATATTTATAAGTAGATAATTAATATATAAGTAGATATAATAATTATATAAATTATATATATGTAGAAAGAATTTGGAGAAGATGAAGAATGAAGATGATTGAATATGAGAGATTGAGAGAATAGAGAATTTAGAAAGTAGGAAGAGTTGTAGAAGAAGAGGTTTAAAAAATGTATAGAAAATAGGAGTATAAATAGGGTTTTTTTTGTATACCCCACCCCCATCCCCACCCCCACCCCCCCTAACCCCCCAGACCCCCCCCCCCCCCCCCCCCCTCCTATGCTCACAACGGCTATAGAGCCGTTTGGGAGGTCTCCCAACGGCTAGTAGAGCCTTCAATTATTTAAAAAAAAATGGTGACCGTTGAGCCACAACTATAATTGTTTTTAATCGGAATCTCCGACATAAGTAGAGCCACCCTCTGTAGATTCATCCATAAAGTGTTGGGATGGAGTGATGTCAATTTCTTGAGCTCTACGTGCTGCTTTCAACCAATCGTGGTAGCATATAAGCATCTCAAGAGATTCAGCGCTCAACCTCGTTCTGGTTTGTGTTAGAACATTGTCGGCCGAACTAAATTCTTGTTCCACGGCAACCGTTGAAACCGGCATTGATAGCACTTGCTTAGCCATCTTTGCTAAAACCGGGAACATTCTTTCTTTTCCCTTCCACCAGTTTAGTACGTCAAAATCATCATCTTCTTCAAAATCAACATCATAAGTTAAATACAAAGAAATCTCATTAATTGTGCTTTGTTGTGTAGCGGGAGTTGATTTTGTTTTTTTAATAAGATTGGCAAACGTAGATTTGAAAATTGATTTTCCTTTAGATGATGTTTGTGTCGGGGAGGGGGCGCATTGCCATATTGTGCATGAAACTCATTGAATGATGCATAAAATATATCACTAACCTCGTTGTATTCCTTTTTCGGATCAATTGGGTTGTCCTCATACATTGGCAATGGACCAAAAAAGCAGCATAATAATAATTCAAACATTCTTCTAAAGAACCAAGTCTAAAACGAGGATCGAGAACAAATGCAATACCATAAATATGCGGAATATGTGAATAATATTTTAAAAACTTTTCCTTCATAAAACCAGCAAAATAACTCACATAATCAGCATTCTCAAAATTTGAAAAAGCACCGGCGAGATTAACAGCTTCACGAATACATTGGTTTGAGGTAGGTTTATAAACATGACTAAAAGTTTCAGTTGCATTATTAAAATATATCAAAGCATTACAAATTTCTTCACAGGTGTCGATCTCAGCCGAGTTTATAATATAGTTATCATATTGTTTCATAAAAGCAGGAAAATGTTGTTTATATCTAAGAAGAACGTTAATTAACTTATAGGTACTATTCCAACGAATAGACAAATCTTTTGGAAAAGCCACATATCTTTCACCTCTTTCTATCAAATAATCATGCCATTTTTTCCTAAGGTGTCCATTACCCCAAATACGTCTAATCCCCCCCTTGACTACCTCCAACGATGCTCCCAACACTTTTAGACCATCTTGCACACATAAATTTAGAACATGACATGCACATCGTTGATGAAAAAATCTACCCATCAAAGAAGTAGAACCACACAATTCACGCAATCTAGGAATAGCAGCAGTATTATTAGTAGCATTATCAAAACCAATAGCAAACACCTTATCAATTAAATTATACTCAATTAAAATACGTTCAATCAAAATATAAATATGTTCAGCGGTGTGACGATCATTAAATTCACGGAAAGCAAGAACATGTTTATGCATATGCCAATCATTATCAATATAATGTACAGTCAGACCCAAATAATGTAAATTATGATAAGTATCCTCCCATATGTCAGAACATACAGTAACACGTCCATCAAAGTTTGCAAAATAATTTTGTAACCTTACCTTTTCCGCACCATAAAGCCTTGAAATTTCTTTCTTAACCGTTTTGCGACTATAACCTCTATATTGCGGATTTAAACAAGTTTGTGCATACTCACGAAAAGCAAGACTTTCAGAAAACAAATAAGGCAAATTTTCTTCAACAAGTAAGTTAGCCATACCTGTCAAATTTTGTGCATCATTGTATGAGAAATTACCAAAAGCTTGTTGGTTATTTGCAAACCTCGATATTTGCATTTGTTTCCCCGTTCCGCCGCCTAATTTTGCATACTCCACCGGGTGTTTGGACTTAAGGTGTCTTGTGGCGGATCCGTATCCGCCGGAAATCCCCAAGCTATAATTTTTCTTGCACCAATTGCAAGTTGTGGTCCAATTCCCGGTGTTCGGGTTCTTCCACTTAGAAAAATTATTAGCCATTAATTCAGATTTACTTTTTTTTGTACCTGTTTGGGATGAGGCTGCTTGGTCGGCGTCATGGCTGCCGCCACCCTCCTCCTCCACGTCGTCGTGGCTCTCCGGAATTGCTTCCTCCACATCGTCGTCCTCGTCCTCGAGCTCTTCTTCGTCAATGGTCCTCGTTTGGTCTTGAAAAAAGCGGGAATTATGTCGGTGCAATTCTTGTTCTAGTTGTTCGTCGGTCATCGCATCCCCATCCCTCCTTACGTAACCCATATCAAAATCATCTTGACTTTGAGATTAAGAGCCGATATGTGATTTACCTTTGCGGGATCTCTTCCTCGCAAGCTCTTTCGTTCGGTTGCGCTCGAGGTTACCCATATCAACCGAATATCTAGGACGATCCATCTAAAAAATGTAGCGATTAATAAAAAATTGTAAAAAACTAATTAACTATTTATCTAACTATTAATTCGAGTTATAGCAAATTAAGTAGTGAATTAACTAGTTTTGTGTACAACATATTTTATAAACTAGAGTCAAATGTAGCAATTAATAAAAAATTGTAAAAAACTAATTAACTATTTATCTAACTATTAATTCGAGTTATAGCAAATTAAGTAGTGAATTAACTACTTTTGTGTACAACATATTTTTTAAACTAGAGTCAAATGTAGCAATTAATAAAAAATTGTAAAAAACTAATTAACTATTTATCTAACTATTAATTCGAGTTATAGCAAATTAAGTAGTGAATTAACTAGTTTTGTGTACAACATATTTTATAAACTAGAGTCAAATATAGCATTTAATAAAAAATTGTAAAAAACTAATTAACTATTTATCTAACTATTAATTCGAGTTATAGCAAATTAAGTAGTGAATTAACTAGTTTTGTGTACAACATATTTTATAAACTAGAGTCAAATGTAGCAATTAATAAAAAATTGTAAAAAACTAATTACCTATTTATCTAACTATTAATTCGAGTTATAGCAAATTAAGTAGTGAATTAACTAGTTTTGTGTACAACATATTTTATAAACTAGAGTCAAATGTAGCAATTAATAAAAACTTGTAAAAAACTAATTAACTATTTATTTAACTATTAATTCGAGTTATAGCAAATTAAGTAGTGAATTAACTAGTTTTGTGTACAACATATTTTATAAACTAGAGTCAAATGTAGCAATTAATAACAAATTGTAAAAAACTAATTAACTATTTATCTAACTATTAATTCGAGTTATAGCAAATTAAGTAGTGAATTAACTAGTTTTGTGTACAACATATTTTTTAAACTAGAGTCAAATGTAGCAATTAATAAAAAATTGTAAAAAACTAATTAACTATTTATCTAACTATTAATTCGAGTTATAGCAAATTAAGTAGTGAATTAACTAGTTTTGTGTACAACATATTTTTTAAACTAGAGTCAAATGTAGCAATTAATAAAAAATTGTAAAAAACTAATTAACTATTTATCTAACTATTAATTCGAGTTATAGCAAATTAAGTAGTGAATTAACTAGTTTTGTGTACAACATATTTTTTAAACTAGAGTCAAATGTAGCAATTAATAAAAAATTGTAAAAAACTAATTAACTATTTATCTAACTATTAATTCGAGTTATAGCAAATTAAGTAGTGAAATAACTAGTTTTGTGTACAACATATTTTATAAACTAGAGTCAAATGTAGCAATTAATAAAAAATTGTAAAAAACTAATTAACTATTTATCTAACTATTAATTCGAGTTATAGCAAATTAAGTAGTGAATTAACTAGTTTTGTGTACAACATATTTTATAAACTAGAGTCAAATGTAGCAATTAATAAAAAATTGTAAAAAACTAATTACCTATTTATCTAACTATTAATTCGAGTTATAGCAAATTAAGTAGTGAATTAACTAGTTTTGTGTACAACATATTTTATAAACTAGAGTCAAATGTAGCAATTAATAAAAACTTGTAAAAAACTAATTAACTATTTATCTAACTATTAATTCGAGTTATAGCAAATTAAGTAGTGAATTAACTAGTTTTGTGTACAACATATTTTATAAACTAGAGTCAAATGTAGCAATTAATAACAAATTGTAAAAAACTAATTAACTATTTATCTAACTATTAATTCGAGTTATAGCAAATTAAGTAGTGAATTAACTAGTTTTGTGTACAACATATTTTTTAAACTAGAGTCAAATGTAGCAATTAATAAAAAATTGTAAAAAACTAATTAACTATTTATCTAACTATTAATTCGAGTTATAGCAAATTAAGTAGTGAATTAACTAGTTTTGTGTACAACATATTTTTTAAACTAGAGTCAAATGTAGCAATTAATAAAAAATTGTAAAAAACTAATTAACTATTTATCTAACTATTAATTCGAGTTATAGCAAATTAAGTAGTGAATTAACTAGTTTTGTGTACAACATATTTTTTAAACTAGAGTCAAATGTAGCAATTAATAAAAAATTGTAAAAAACTAATTAACTATTTATCTAACTATTAATTCGAGTTATAGCAAATTAAGTAGTGAATTAACTAGTTTTGTGTACAACATATTTTTTAAACTAGAGTCAAATGTAGCAATTAATAAAAAATTGTAAAAAACTAATTAACTATTTATCTAACTATTAATTCGAGTTATAGCAAATTAAGTAGTGAATTAACTAGTTTTGTGTACAACATATTTTATAAACTAGAGTCAAATGTAGCAATTAATAAAAAATTGTAAAAAACTAATTAACTATTTATCTAACTATTAATTCGAGTTATAGCAAATTAAGTAGTGAATTAACTAGTTTTGTGTACAACATATTTTATAAACTAGAGTCAAATGTAGCAATTAATAAAAAATTGTAAAAAACTAATTAACTATTTATCTAACTATTAATTCGAGTTATAGCAAATTAAGTAGTGAATTAACTAGTTTTGTGTACAACATATTTTTTAAACTAGAGTCAAATGTAGCAATTAATAAAAAATTGTAAAAAACTAATTAACTATTTATCTAACTATTAATTCGAGTTATAGCAAATTAAATAGTGAATTAACTAGTTTTGTGTACAACATATTTTATAAACTAGAGTCAAATGTAGCAATTAATAAAAAATGGTAAAAAACTAATTAACTATTTATCTAACTATTAATTCGAGTTATAGCAAATTAAGTAGTGAATTAACTAGTTTTGTGTACAACATGTTTTATAAACTAGAGTCAAATGTAGCAATTAATAAAAAATTGTAAAAAACTAATTAACTATTTATCTAACTATTAAACAAGAGTCAAATGTAGCAAATTAACTAGTAATTAAACAAGTTTAAATAATAGAATAATTTCGTACCTCTTTCGGACTTTCGGTCTTTCGGATGGGAGTAATAGAATGACTTCAAATTAATTAGATATAATTCCAACTATATTAATAGATATAATAAATATATAAGTAATATATAATTAGATAACAAATATAAGTAATATAATACTATTTATATCTATTTATAGTTTATATAAGTAGATAATTAATATAAACTATAAATAATAAATATAATATATTGGAGAATGGAGAATAAGAGAATTAGAGAGTAGAGAGTTAAGAATAGGATTTAGGAAGAATTGGAGAAGAGATATGAAAAAATGTTTAAGATTAGGAGTATTTATAGGCTTTTTTACCCCCCACCCCCCACCCCCCCCACCCCCCACCCCCCACCAGCCAACCCCCCCGGACCCCCCCTTTACCCCACCCAACGGCTATATAGCCGTTTGGGTTGTCCCCAGCCCCACCCCCAACGGCTAGTAGGAGCCCAAACCAAAAAAAAATATTAAAAATAGAACCGGACCCGGGCCCGGGCCCGGCCCGACCCGGCTGGGCCGGGTCACAATAATGCAGAACCGAGCCCGCCCCGCCCCTTCCCACCGGTCCGGGCCCATACCCGGTCCCGAACCGCCAGACCGGGCCGGTCCCGGGCCCGCACAGTACCGGGCCGGGCCGGGTCACGGGCCGGGCCGGGTCACGGGCCGGGTGGCCCGAACCGAATCCATCCCTACTTCCTGGGAATCCTGGGTGTAGCAACAGAAAGGCTAATGGCAGGGCTCAGGAGAGACCGAGGGACTCTTCAGAGAAGAACGAAACTACGATTCATACCCCTCCTCAACTGCCACCACGAATCACACGATTGAGGGAGTCGCAAGTTTTTATTTAATTTAGTTTGTTTTAATTTTCATTTTGTCATTTATTTTGATAAAATAGCTTTTATTTTTGCATTTTATTTCTTGTTGTGCCAACTCTTGCATTAGGATTAAGTGACGAGAGTATGGGTATACTAGGACAGGTCGACCCGGCCCGGGACCCGACCTGATCCAGTAGGACACAATTCTACTATTGAAAATATCACATCATTGTGAACAAAATAGTTGGTTTTGAACATTAATATGTACTTTGATTTGCTTTTTCCCCCTTTCATCCCTGTATTATTTTTTAACAGTACAATTTTTTATTCCCAATTCCCTTGGATGAAGAAAGCACTTAGATTTTCTCCAGCTAGAAAAAGTAATCTGCCACTACTCCACCAGCATGTTCAGAAAAGCTGAAATATATAGATGAAGCTAGTTACTAATTTAATAAAACTGGAAAATGTTCCCAAGATTACAAGCAACCCACATTTTCTTCATCTGGATTTCTACCTCCGTACGTACTTTGGTTGAGACTTGGTGAAATATTGCCATTCATGTCTGCAAGCTCTCGCACACGTAAAAGAATTGGAGCCGGGATCAGCATAGACGCATTTTTCCTTGAATTATTATGTAGCTGTAAAAGACGATCATTAACAAAGTGCACGTTAAAAAAATCATATTTTAGAATAATACTACGTTATTAGGATAAATAAATTGTGTGAGGGTTATTAGAGCCCTATGTTACCTTTTTTCCTGGCTTACCTGCCTTTTTATAGAAACTTTAACATTTTTTATAGTAAATAAATCACGCTTTTAATCAAGTAAATTATTCACCAATTGACTAACATTACATTGATGAACTGAGAGATAATCAGCACAAGCATCTGAACTAGAACTAGCCATCCTAGCTGAAATATGAGCAGCCCGGTTCGTAGAACGCTTATTAAGGATGTTTTTACTTGGACTGTAATTCGTCCCAGACCAGACCAGACTTGGATAGTTATAAAAATACAAAGAAACCAGACCAGACCAGATCAAACAAGACCAGC